AATAGAGGTACCAGCTGGAACAGTTATCAGTATTGTGCATGAAGGAGAAATGAGAAAAACTAGTGGTGTATATAGTGTTATTTCAAAGTCACCATGCTAACAGGGAAATGCATATTTGCATGAAATTGTCAGTCAGAGATCGCGTAGACAGACAGACCCCCACAGAAAGTTCGGGAAGACAGTGACACAATCTGCCAATGTAGTATTCAGAGCATGAAACGGTCTGGGGACAAAAACATTACAAACAGTAGCATAGGACCATCACCCAACAAAATATAGATACTGTAAATGCATGTTTTATTAAGGAACTGTCATATTGAAATAGATTAGATGCTGAAGGACAGAATCATTGAACTTTGAGAAAGTCTTTGATCATCACCAGCAGTGATCATATGAAAAAAAGAAAAGAGGTGCACAATGGTTTTGGGTAGACGTCATATGGGTGATGCAGTAACATATGTTGATGCATTTCTGTTGCCACACTCATACATACAAGTTTTTCGGTGCATTATAATGATCCTGCTGGTTTAGGTTCATTATACGTCGCTTCTAGTTACTGGCAAGTTGAGCCGTATGACAAAAGCAGAGCCAATTTCAGCACTGTAGAAGGCTTGTATGAGTTTTTGGCTTGAAACGTGCACCAAACACCAGATATTATCGACGTAAATGAGACATTTACTACTTCAAACCACATGATTACAAATTTCATCAGGTGCTCAAAGGTAGCTGGTGCATTACAGAAGCCAAAAGGTATGATGTTAGGCATAGTATTTCAATATCTTTGACAAGCAGATATGAAACTGAAGCCACAGAAATATCTTATTCTGCAAATGTTGGTACAGTTTCTCAGACACAGTGAGTAAGGGCAGAGTAACTATAGATCGTGGTAAATTAAAAGCAAGGTAGACTAGCTCAAACAAGAAAAAACATCAAATATTTATCAGCTTTGTATTATTACAGATGTTTTGTGGCTAATATTTTTTTACAGTACCAGCACTACTTTCAGCAATAAAGAAGGATGAACCTTATTTTAGATGGACTGAGGACTGTGTAAAATCATTCCAGTTATAAAAACTTGCCTTGGTTAATGTACCCAATCCAGCTTATCCAAGCAGAGATGCTCAACTCATCCTGAATATGAATACCAACGACAGTAGAATCAAAGCAGTGCTGTTACAAGTATGCAGGATGGTGTGGAACATTGTGATAACATATATGAGCCAAACACAAGTGTCCACCAATCACCATTACTGTATAATAGAAACTACTTGCAGTTGTCAAGTGCCACTTTTGCTACTATTTATATGGTCGAAAGCATACTGTTCAATAAGATCATTCATTATTAAAATTGTTCAGGAACTTTATAAAACCAAAATGGTAATATTGCATGGTGGATCTCAGTGTTGCAGAAGCATAATTTCACTGTGCAACACCAACTGGGACAGCGGCGTGTGCAGATAAAGATTCTTTTCAGCAGGTGAGAATATTATCCGTTTACAGAATGTTCTAATTCTGGACATAATATTGCTGTGAAACTCAGTCTTAATCATGATGACGAACCATGCAAATACTGAAAGTTCCATTGATGAATGAATACTAGATGCATTGATCAAAAAGCTATGAGAAGAATAGTTAAAGGACCTGGATATAACTTGGATGTTACTTAACATGCAGCGAAGTGGAGCATGACTATCAGAAATTAGTGAATGTAGTATGAAAACACTTAACTTATGGCAATTGTTTGGTCAAATATAGGTACTGGAGGGAGTGTTATTCCATCACTACAGCCCATACAAGCTCAGTGCTCAACTTGTGATGCAACTAATGTCCGACAGCCAAGATTCGATAAACCGTATATGATACATATATTGGAGGACCCCTGAGAGTTTCTCGCACTGTAGCCAACCTATGAAGACGACTTACTGGTTAAATTCCCGCAGAGATGTTAACATTGTACTTGTGTGTTGATTAGAAAAAGAAGTCTACTCTATGTGAAACTTCATCAGTAAATTGTAGTTTCTCAATTTCAGAATATCCCTGGAATTTGCAGAACCCATCCCTGAAACTGGTCAATGCATCTGCTACATCCTGATTATAAATTATTGCTTCCCTAAGTGTACTGAAGCATATTCACTGGTAAATACATTGGCTCGAATAGTCGCCAACAAATTTATTTAAGAATGGATAATTTGCTTCAGAGGACTAGAAGTGATCTAACATTTAAAGCATCTTGAATTTTTTACTTTTATTTTATTTTAGTAGTGTAGTATATTGAGAATTTCCAGCGAAGTAGAGAAGTCTGGATTAGGAAAACAGGAGGTTAGCGGATCTCGTATGTGAGTGTGTTTCCCAACGGTTGCGACGTTTCAGTCACAAAGAACGAAACAGGTCACAGATTTTACACAGAATGAAAATGTCTAATGAAAGTCACCACGATTTACAGTACAAACAACAATACGCTATTACACAACTAAAGCTAATACTACAACTTACAATAGGGCAAGTGATTGCGTAAGTGTGCTTCCTGGAGCACCAAAGACTTTATTAAACCAAAAGCCTCTGCTAGTACGTTTTCTCCTCCCTGTAACATAGACTAGCATAAGACTGAGCCTTACCTTAAAAGAGAGTGTCTTCAAGTTAACGGGACACTGTTGAACCAACTTTATACAAAAATAAGAAAGAAAATAATGCTAAATACGCTAAACGAACTCACTGTTTGCTCGCAGACGTTTACTCAATACGTTAACTCGTGGGCGAGTTCACCTGCTCATTATAATTAAAAGTAGAAGTTAACTCTATAGTCACTGGGGAACTTACAGTTTCTCAAAAAGTAAAACTATACAGAAATAATACTCTGACCTTGTTCCAACAGAAGAAGGCGAGAATTTTAAGAATTCAAACTAATCTAACTGAAATATCTTTAAATATACCACAGAAACTTTGTGAATTATATGCAAAACTGGCAAAATTCAAAGAGCTTTCTTAAAACTTTAAGACAAATTCTAAGGTAAACTCTGCTTAAAGTCTAATAAAATATCTGCTGTAGAACATATGAAAAATCTGGTAAAGTATCTGGGAATCTATGAGAAAATCTAGATAAAAATCTTTTGAAATGTATGAGAAAATTTCCTCTCTTAGGCCCCAGCACTGTTCTAAATGTGGTAATCAACTCTAAAGTTTTTGTCTCAAGAAAACAGTGATTGGTGGTGCCTGTTGGATCAGTTGGCCAACGAGCAGTGAAGATCATGGACGAGTCCACCTGCAACTAAAGCCTGATTCGTCAAAAAGAATAACTGAGCATGCTGATTAAAAAGTTGTTATTTCTGCAAGAGAATTAGGCAAAAAGGCGACTAATCCCCACTTGACCCAGTTAGTCCTTGGAGAAAGTTAAAGTTAGGAAATTGCTTGAGCAATGCTATGTTCCAACCTGGAGAACTACAGAGAAAAAAAATTGTGAACTTAACTTTTAAACTAAAAGGAAAGGAAAACATATAATACAATGTGGTACTGCAATATTGTTGGGAACACGTACCCATTAAAGTCGTACAATGAAAAGGTACAACCTCGAAAGTGTTCTATTGTATTCACTCTTTTACTAGCTAAAACTCACTTTTATAAAGTATTACATCCATAATAACACACCAGTAAAAAATCATAAGTCAAGTGAAGCACTTATATCCAAAAGAATAAAATTAGAAGAAAAAAATTAACAAACTTTGTTTTGAAATGGTGGAAGAAAACTTCGCCACTGGTGTAAGTATCTTTCTTATACAGCATAAAATAAAATCAACTCGAGAAAGCAGATCTAACTGCTCACAGAGTACAACACAGAGAAATAGGCAGAGTTGTAAGTTATATTTTTTAAAAGGTTGAAAATCAATGAAATACAATAGAAGTGAAACCTGGAATATTCTTGAAAGATTAGGAAATGATATGAATGGTATAAAAATACAAGTTAGGTTAGATTAAAGATCAGGGGCATGCACAAGAGAGGGGGTGAAAGCAGGGGCTAGGATCCACCAACGACTCTATGTATACGATTCATCACTTTGGTGAGTGTACTGCTGTTTACTTCTATACATGTGCACTTAACGTACCCCCCCCCCTTCAATCCCAATAGCGGTCAAATTTAAGTTCCTGCGCACGCCCCTGTTAATGATTTATTAGCAAATCTTTTACATTGGATGATTGATTACACAGGCCTACAATGGTTTTATTGTCTTGAAATGTTTACATGTTCTACGGTAATTCCTGTACGCTGAATCCGAAAATGATATACAATTTTTCTCCATCACGTACAGATGTTTCACAAAATGTCATATGTACCTTTACATAAGTGAATCATTTTCATTGATATCGGATCACACTTTGTTATGCTTAAAATGTTTTCGGGGGTCACGTGACTCTAGTAACACGTCATATTCTCGAACGTTCACGTCCTTTCCTGAAGCCTCGAGAGGTTACTAGATATGCGGTATTCTTGTATATATAAGCCCGGTAAAAAGTGGCGGCAACATTGTAATGTAATTGACAGTTGAGTCGAGCACGTCAGTCGTTCGTTGTGAATTATAGCGTGACTATGGAAATTAAGTGTATCGCAAAGTTGTATTTAGAAAGAATAAACCAGTTTTATTTAAGAAAGGACTTGTATTGCTAAAGTTTCTTCAGAAAGAAATTATACGGAAAATTAACTAACGAACAGAGACGTAACAATATATATATAGTTTAGTATATTTGGATTGGTCAGCCTTGATATAGCAACAGGTCTCTTGTTGTTCTTAAACGTTATGTTACATAGAAAATGAGTGATTTTATACAGTTATTTTTGTTAGCTCTGGACAAAAAAAAAAAGTACTCAATATGATGCAATATGTTGATTCTAATGGTAGTGAATGATATTAAAAACAAGACAATAATTTGAGAGTAAACTATAAGGATATTTTAGAAGAAAAAAATTTTCTTCAAAAGCAACAGATAATGAAAGCACTTGATAAACATAATTGATAAACAGCACATTTATTTTAACCATATTCTTTAAATGACTTTTAAAAACTTCATCAGTTTTAACTACATCCTGTTAATTAGTTTAATATATTTTTTACACTGTGTTAGCTACATTGTAACACCATTACAAATGTATTATTAAAAACTGCAAATCTAGTGGTACTTGAACTCCAAAAATTTGTTAAAAATTCTTTGTTGTTTTTTCATTTGATATGTCTCCCTTAGGAGCATTAATCAACAAATAATTGAAAAACATTACAATCATCTGTCTTAATCTTACATGGGACACATACAATTATGTTGACAAGAGGTGCAGAAAAACCCTGGGAAATCTATTTAATTTTTTAAAATAATGTTACATTTGCCCAGAATAGACAATTCTTTTAGATAAATTAATTAGTTCCAGATTTTTATATTTATATAGTTACAAAAAAAACAACTAACAAAATGAATTTTACACCACTTTTTACAGTTCTGATGTATTAAGCTGAAGTACAGCTTCAATGGTTTCAAGAATACACAAAAAAATAGGGAAAATTCATATAATTATTTCAGTTAATGGTAATAAACATATGTATATGGCACAACTGTATCTACACTTTACATCAACAGTGCCAGAGTTCTAAAAGAACTTTTATAAAAATCAATACAATCAACTGACTGTATGATGGTATTAACCAAAAAATGCCCAAAGCTCTTGCAAAGATTATCACAAATTCAAATGAAAAATAACACCCTGAACATAAAACAAAAGTAAGATGATTCATTAATAAGGTAAATACTTTAAATATTTCACTGAAATAAACATTAACTTGATTTGCACTCCACCAGCATGATATTTATTTATCAATTAATATGCTGTTTAGTTACAGTGTTAGTGCTCCAATACTGAGTTAGTTGTCTTCTTAATCTTAAAAAAATAACAGGTTACACCAGAGGTTCTCAATAGGCAGTTCTGGACTGGTTCTGATCCATGGGGAGACTTCAGATGACTGAAAACCAAAATGTGTGTGTTCCAGAATATAGCGACTGAAGTATACTGTTTTGAAAATATAATTTAAAAAGTTAATAAGGTATGGAACAAACCATGAAAATTTGGGATCAGAACTAGCTGGTCCTCAGTTGGTAACCACACAGTTAGACAACAGAGTATTGATGAACATCATACTCACTCATCTTCACATATCCTTCTAACTTACCCAAGAAGTTTTAGTATAAAATATTAAAGGTATTACTTGTAAATAATTATAAGTTGCACTTTTATTAGTTGTTTTCCTTAAGGAGTTCAACATATCTTCAATTGAAACAATAATCTTTAGAAAAAGAGCTTATTTTGTCACATTTGTCTACTACATATTTTGAAAAATAAAAATATTATATTGTTTTCAAATCAAATACTTAAAAGAAAATGGAAATTAATAATTTCATTAAAGTTTGAGACTAGGTAGTGCTTAATCTTTTTAAATCTTTCTTAAATTATTTCGAAATTATAACTAGTGAAAGTATTAAGGCTTAGTTTGTAAATTAACTGTAAATCTTTGGAAAGAAAAAAGTCCAAGGATAATATTAATATTGAAGTATATTTGTGAATTAGAAGATCACAGTAAAAAAAAACTCAGTTAAAAAACCACAGTCGTTGTTCTTTTAATCAGAAAATTTATTTAATTTACTTCAGAAGGCACAACAGGTTATATCCATAAGTATTTATCGTCTCTAATGATAAACATGGATATAAACCCTGTTTCACATTCTGAAATGGATGAATCTTTCAACTTAAAGACAGGTATATAGTTCTTTAAGATAATAATTAACTTGTGTATATCAAACAAAATGAAAATAAAACACTTAAAAACAATAGGTTGTATAAACTTAAGTGCAAGAAACCTGAGTGCATGACATTGTGAACTTTTATTTCCGTTGCATTCACTTTAGTTGTGATTATGGCTCATTTGCCTGTTGTGCACCTAAAGTTTATTGGCTCCTATAAAAATAAACTCTCATCATAGAAATACATTTCTTGATATTATTTTCTGTGACTATTAATTTATTCTGATTAGTGAACTGTTCTTCTGACTAAATGATCAAAATTCAACTAGATCAAGGCTGCTTGACAAACTGAAAGCCCTCAAGTTCTAAATCAATTGCTTGTTACAAACAACATGAAAAACATTATAACAATTATGTATTTACATTTAGACAAAACATTTGAAATAAAAATTCATAATTTATGACTGTTGGTAGTGGCTAAACAATGCTTTAATTTCATCAACATTATATCTCAGTGACCTCTTTGGCATCAACAACATAAAGACAATCACCATATCCATGTGGACAGTTAAAAAACATCTACAGTATTAACTTCATACCATAAACAACATTCATTGAATGCTAAATCTGCTAAACATGGTAAATACATTTTATTTGTTCTGATATGTAACCCAACCACGTACAAGACTGTTGCTTCAAGATCTCAAAAGCCTTCATTACAACCGATATGGTATTAACATTACAGTACAGGTGATATTTGGAATTGCAAAATTAGTATATAGGAAAATGGGGAGGTCATGTGTAGGGGGTTGGTTTTCAGTTGGTGGGAGAAAAAGTGAGTGTAAGAAACATATCTCAGTGGTTTAAGTAAAATAATAGTATCAGGCCTACTTGAAAACAAAAATTGAGGGGGGGGGGGGAGAAGAGTGTAAACATACTTTTCCGGGGGCACAATGTATCTGCAACACAAGTGAGAAAAACAAGAGAGGTGGGATTTTGTATTGAGGTCACAATATTATGTAATACCCAAATGTTACTTATGATTGCACAAATAAACTTCCAAAGAAATTTCCACCACTCTATCTACAAGAAGAGTTCAAAAATTTATATTTATTCAGTACACAAACTTTAAAATGCCACTACTATTCCTGCAATTTCGTAAAACAGGTGGCACTTTTATTACAAACCTCACTAACAGAGCACAAAATTGAAAAATCTGCAATGCACCAAGGACAATCCTGTGCAGAAAAATACATCTCTAATAAGGTAACTTTTGGTGTGGCACTAGAGTGAATATCTTTTTGTATTCAAAGTTTCCCTGACAATCAGTTTTGGAAGGTGCCTTAATTTAAGAACCAATTCCTTCCTATTAAAGTCATACTAAATTAACAAAGGGTCACATGTCTTTAGTTTTTTTACTGTGTGCCAATGTTGTTTCAAGGTCTGGTGCTTCAGACAAACTGTCACTGATGTCTAGTTGGCTTTGTACAATAAGACCATGTTGAAAGGAGGTTAAACTTGAAGATGAGTCCTTCAGCCCATTGCTATAGGCTCCAGTGCTACAACTGCTACTTAGAGGAGAGTTGTTGGGTAATATTTCTATGCTGGTTAAAGCTTCTGAAGAGCCATTTTCTCCAGCATCAGTGGAGTTCCTGCGTACTGTTGGAAACTTGGCTGTCACATCAAGCTTTACTCCTAGTCCAATGAACTAAAGCACACAGAAATATACAAATGCATAGATGTAAGAGATGTAATTGTTATGTAATAAACTAAATATATATATACATGTTGTACATTCTTGCATAATTAACAAGCTGTTGGCTTGAATAACTTGTTATTGTATATATATATATATATATATATATATAAATGGTAAGTGTACACAAACAGGAGTATCTGAAGAATTGAGTTAGTTAAGTTTAAAAAGTTTCATTTATGAGTACATAATGATTAAGAGTAGTAAATAAAGAGCAGTGTTAGCTATGACAGATATTATAACAGTTCATTTTTCTAAAAGGTAGAGGGATCTCATTAAATTCTTTAGAAGAAAGTTTGTATTCATTAAATATTTAGATTTGTTAAATAAAAGTAGGCTAAAACTTTCCAACTGTCCTTTGGTTGGCTAAAAGCAGCATTTAGCAACAATCTGGCAAAAAAATATGTCTGGAAATGTTTTCAGAACTGTTTAAATTTAGTGAATCACTTTTCACTTGATTAAAAAATTTCTACCACCTTGCATAAAGTCTATCATTTGTTTATGTATCTATCACATGACTGACTGAACTACAACTCAAATGTAGGTATACTTTTAGTACATATTCACATAGTATACTGACATTTTTATTGCTTGCAACACAAAAAGAGACAACATTGAGAGGGATGTGAACATATACAAAGTATTCCATTTAGAGGCCAACAGAGTAATGTAATGCCTTTAAAATTAAAAGTATATATATACATGAGCCAAAATGCTTGTGACTATCTAAAAAAAATCAATTAGTTGCTATAATAAAAATACAATATCTATAATAATGATATTCAATAAAACAATACCAAACACATTTCCCTATAATATCAGTACAACTTCAAATAAATTTTAATTCAAATTAAATCACCACATAAAAACCTTTATTTTATCATCAGCACTATTATCTATAATTAATTTTTTAAAGCTTATGACAAATGCCACCAGTAATCCAGTGGTTAGCTTGGTGGTTTATATCTCTTAAAATACAGGGTTCAACCAGTGTGGCGGGAACAACACAGACAGCAAATTGTGCAGCTTTATGCTTCACAACAAACAAATAAAAAACTTAACAGTTAAATCATAACAGTTCTGTCTTCTGATGCATTTTTTTTTAAAAGTATGCTTCCTCTGATAATTAATGAAGAACTTTCATGCTTTTCCTGTATATTACTTTACCGAAAATTTAGCTGACAATGAATGTAATATGTTTTCAATTTCTGCTTAACTAATAAAGAAATTTTATATGAAAAAGACCAATGGAAAATGAATTTCTTTTATCCATTCTACTAGTATTTGACTTATTCTTCAATTTTGTATAAAAATACAGATAAGAAATTAAGATTTGAATTTAAAAGCTGATGACAAAAAAGGACTATTTAAACTTACACATTTATTGACAGGCAGACTTTCATTTCATAAGTTAAGTAAATTCATGTAAAACATAAGATAATAAGACAGAATCAAAGTATAAATGGAATTTACAGTAACATAACTGTGGTTGATTACAATTATTCCTTATTTCACAATTAAAATTATAATTAAGAAAACATTTCTTTTAATTTCAAAATTATTAAATATAAAGTAGCATGGTTTTAATAATTAAGAAAATGAATATACTAATGACCATGCACTGTAGAAAAGCTGCAAACATTCGTGGTGGAGGTTATGTATCAAAGTAATAAAATATGCTCCAATAACTATCTTAATGTTCTTTTGAAAATTAAAAATCAGTAGGTGAGATTACAGGTCAAATGTTATTTTCTATTGGATTTGCTTTACTCCATTTATGCAAATAATGTGTCTATGAAGTATAATGCACTGAAATAAGAGGTTTGTTCATATTAGTTTGTTAGAATACAACAAAGTTGTTCAGCTTTTGTATCAGGGCAAAGTGAGTATCTCAATGGTTTTTTTTTAATAAGGTATGGATTGATTTCTACCCTTACCTTGACAGCATACTTGCTGCCTCTCAGTAATTCTAATAGAGGCTTGTAATTAGATAATATTTTATAAAATGAAGATTATAGTAGAAATCTGACCTATTGTAAGTTTTATATTTTCCAGCCCTTGATTCTACCATAGCTAAAGCACTAGACACACTTTCAGTTTTCACTAATTCATCCTTGTCAGTAAGAAATAGCAGCCTATTTTTGATTGATGTTTTTCAAAGGCTTGAACATACCGTGTTTAAATTGATAGAAATTAAACTAAGATAACTATCGAAGAGTACAAAGATGAACATTTCACAAAAACTTTACTGTACATGAATCATAAACCTTCTATAGAACCAAATTCAGTCCACTACAAGGTGGTTGTTTAATTGATATTTCACCACAGATAGTACATACATCATAGAAGAAAAAATGATGCACACTTTTTAATACTTTTTAAGCATAGAATAAACTGAGGAAGTGATACCAACAACTAGTTTTCTCTCTTCCAAATGCATTAAGGAATACTTAGATCTGAGAACATGGTAGCTTGTTAAATTCATGTTCACCTGAATATAAGTTTAAGAAAAAAGCTTTTCATGAATGAGGTACACCAAAAAACAACTCAGAAAGTTTGTAACTGTTTACTTACAAAATCCAAAAAAATGGTCCAGACTTTTTAGAATTTGCCTTATGTTTTTCCAAAAACACTGGTTTAAAAGTAAGGCATTATATATTAAACAAAAGTGGACCCTATGCATACGAAAGGGTCAAAGTGTGCATGTCATGACCATTTTATGGTTACATTCAAAAGGTAATTACACTACTCTATTATCAGTGTAGGTCATAAGCTTGGTATCAACGTTTTATAATATTTAAGTTTTGATTTCTTAATTGTGAAAGGAAATGTTTAATTAAATGCTCAGTTTTCATTTCCATGTCATGTGTTGTGTCTGCACTCTCAATTCCCTATTTCAATTTTTCTTTCTACCCTATACTCTTGTTGTTCTACTTGAGCATTACATGTAGGAGGAGGAAAATAAATTTTATATAATTAGACAATTCAGAATGTAGTTATTGTGGATGTTGATAATGAAATATCGTTTATATTGAAGCTTGGAGGTATGTTACTTATTCTTGATGCAGAAAAAACTGTTAGAGTAAATACTTATAATATATACTTGTTTTATGCATCAGGTGGGTAAACTGGTATACTTTTAATATTTGTTGTAATTTTGATAAAAGATGATGATGTTACATGGGTAATCACTTCTGTTTCTCTAGCAGCTTATACCTATTATACATTCCTTAAAAACTTTATTAAGAATGTTGTATATCTCATTAGTCATTTAAGCATTAGTAAACCTTTTAAAAATATTTAAATGATCAGGGTGTGTGCTATGTGTAGTTATCATGGAAAATTTAATAGGGAGGCAAATAAGACTATCAGATAAATATAAAGAGTTTCTGAATGGGATTTTCTGAGAGTGAAACATTATTTTAGGTTTGCTACATGTAGCTTGTTAGTTAATTGTAGGTATCTGGAATTATTACTTACTTCTCCCATTACTGCTATTGGAGTTTCTCCCATATCCTTGGCAACCTTGTGTTCTATCAGGTAGAACACGTATTCATCATAAAGAAGTCGAATCAAGTGAAAAGAACCAAAGCTAGCAGCACTACGAAGAGTGAGATCTCTGATAACCATGGAGCTAAAGAAAAACAATACTTTTATTAATTCTAAACTAGTTATACTTTACACACTAAGCCTTGAATAGTGTGAAATGTATTACAATACATCTACTTTTGAGGTAATGTGTATTCAGGTTGGATAACCCTACAACAATAATATATAAGTTACAAAATATTTTATTTTTCTACAAATTTAAAAAAGGTAGCTTAAAGTGTTTACATTTCTTAAACACTTAAAATGTAAAGATACTGTCACTGAATAAACACAACACATTTAGAATAATAATTGTTTTTGTTTTGTAAGGAAACTATATTGAAATTGAGATGTTTTCTGTGATTTTTTTAACAAATGATTTTTCATAATTTTTGAAATTTAGTCTTTTCAATGGACATAAAGATCTTCCAGTTGATTTCAGAAGTTTTTCTTGAAACAAAGTGAAATTCATAAACGTTTATATATCTTAAAAATCTGGAACAGCTCAAAACATAAAATGAAAATACTCTTCATCATATCTCACCTAGTATCATAAGAATGTATGAAAAACTTCTGTTTAAGCTTACTGATGTTTTTAATAACATAAAAAAGGCTTAATTTGAGTTATATTCTGCATATATATATTTGTTTTAAATTGAAACATTTAAAATGACACAATATATCTCTTCTCATACACATTAGTTACTATACAAATTTTCTTATACTATGAAACACGTGGCTGTGGGAATAAAAATTGTTATTTGAAATTATCTTTCTAGCTAATCCATTTCATGATGAAATTATTTATTACCTCTATATATTCTATAATGCAGACCACAAATATGTAAAACAGAAACCATCCAGTACAATCACATTCAAAGAAATGAAGCACTAAATATTATCCTGAAACCATTATAATGTTCTTTATTCAGGCTTTACCTTATGCCTTATCTTTACGTAATCCATCAAAACAATAGACATTTTTATTACTGGACAACATTTCTTAACTGGCTGCTGTAACTAATGGAACCTAGCTATAGCATACATAAAGGTTGACTTTAATTTTGTCAAGAAATTAAATGGAAGTTACCTACTAACAAATGTTTTTTTACTACACACCTATAAAATGACCACTTGAGAAGGAACTGACGAGCAGCCTTTGGAAAATCAGGTTGTCCCTCAAAGGGTTGTAGGACTAAATTAACAACTCCCTCCAACCAAGCTGCCCACCGTTCAAGAGAATTTTGTTGTTGAAGAGTCATCTTGAAGTCTTGTTCTAGATGTTGTACCATTTCATCTTCACATTGACAGACCCAAGATGCCTGTTCCTATTTAAACACAGATCTGAACATTTACTTTAAAACTATGGCACTCCTGTGTTTTCTGAACCTATTATGAGTGTATGTTTTTGTAGCAAAAATTTACCAGTAAACAATTTATTCAACAAAAATAAACTGATCAGCAGTGCATATTAGTGATTGACTGACAAGCTACACTAGTTCACTTGTTTCATCACTACATATACGTACTTACAATTTAAGAACATCATTCAAAGCTAGCCCTTATCATTCAAATATTTATCATGCCTTCCCTTAAATTAACTGCATCCACCACATCTGAAGGCAACCAATTCCAAGGGCCAAATTTTTTTTAGAAAAATACAGTTGTCCTAGCTGAAGATGACTCCTACCCTGCCAAAATTTATATTTGTATCCCCCTAGTCATAAACTTCTCACTATTAAGTACAAAAAAAGATGATACATTAACACTACCAATTCCTTTAACAACCTTAAACACATTAATCGGATCCCTCTAGCCTTTTTTTTTCAAAGAGAAAACAATTTTAGGGATCTTATCCTCTCCTTGTATGACAACCTTTCCATTCCAGGAATTCTCTTAGTAGTCCTTTAAAATAACTCAATGTCTTTCCTAGAGGTAAGAAGGCCAAGACTGATCACAATACTCCAAATTTGGCCTAACCAATGATCTATATGATGAAACTATAACTTCTTTAGACTTATATTCAATATTTCTGTAAATACAACCTAAAATCATATTTGAACTGCCACTAGCAACAGTGCTTTACATGGATGGCTTAAGAGACTGATCAAAGTTAGTTCAGATGCCCAGTTCATAATAGATAATTTTTATCTTATCCCTTCAAACTTTGTATTTTTGAAATTTGGAACCAAAATCTCATTATTATTTATTTCCATATGCAGCAAAAAGTGAAACCTAATAGAGTAATGATCACTTGCACCCAGATGTTCTTCAACTTCAACAGGATGTAACTTACATTTTACACATCCATTCCTCCCCCTCTTTTTAGTACTCTATTACTATTAAAAAATCTATAACCCCGAATTTCAGAGAAATTCTTGTTCATCAAAATTGTGTACATTTAACTAGGTTTCAATTATTCCCTTTACATCAAAATCCTCTTTTCTGCTAAGGTCATCCATTTTCTAGCATTACAATAATAACAGTTTAGCCTATCACTAAAACTTTTGTACTTTGTTCCTACACTATACTTTTCTCTATATTTTATTATTTCGTTCATTATTCTGATTCTCATCACTGTCTAATCCTAGTTTGAAGCTTCCCTTACAGTTGACTAATAGCCCTTACAAACAAGCCAGCCCCTACCTCATTTAAACATAAACCATGCATTACAAAAAAGCACACATTTACCAGTAAACTGATCCCACAAATCAACAACCTGCTCATGCTTATATATTAACTTAACCCCAGCATTCAGTCCTAGTAATCTTATCATTTCATTCCTACAATTAAGTTTTGTCACTATCCTTGAGAGAATTAAGTTATTATGGCTCTTTTTTAATGTCTTTATCAGTACCTTGTACCTACCTTTCCCTACATCATTAGCCCATATGTGTACTACAAAGACTGTATCACTGCTAGCACCCTTTACTATATCACTTGCTCTGTCAGATATAACTTCTACCCCTGCTCCTAGATAGCATAATCTAATTCTTTTCTCCATATTTACCTTACAAACCATCCTATTCATATGTTGTACAAATGAATCACCAATAACTATAACCTCCCAATCTTTTTCATTCTTATACCTATCTGTCCCTTTTGTTATCCTTAAGTTCGTAATCTGCACATGATAAAGGTTAAAATCTATTACTTAATATAACCAGTTTCGTTACAGTTAAATCCACTACTACTAGCCCTACTAGTACCGTTTTTTTACTTCCTGAAAGCCTTTATGAACTACTGTATCCTTTTCATGCAAAAGCTCAAGTTTCTCTTGAAATCCAGCTGCCATTTCCCACAGTTTACATTTTTCTTTACCTACTACCTGTACTATATTTAGGATAGCTTCCATTTTCTCCTCCAACCTACAAAATGTACATACAGATCACACATCTTCACAACTAACTTCTTTAAAAGTGCATGCTAGTTCTGAGTTCCCAAATAAAAGCCACTTTTTACACCTATTGCATCTTAAAAACTGAATGTTTAACACCTACATTACTTTTAATCATTGTAGCCCGAAAATAAATAAACGCTAAATGCCAGTAGTATACTGACAACGATGTGAAGCCAAACTTTAAAGTTAAGTATTTTACACTATTTTATTACCATCTTTATCAATATTCTCACTAAATTGATTAAGTTTATTTTTAAAACACAATACATTTAACCTATTTTAAAACTTGCCAATAAGCTAAATTGTAGCTAAAGTCACATTATACTTGCTAAGCCTAATCTAATATTTGTAATATTTAAAGCACCAAATTATAATTTAACACTTTAATATCATTATTTACCACAAAGTACTACAATAAAAATCAGATCCTTAAATATGATATTCTAAAAACTTCAAACCAAAGAAGTAGAGTTTAAGGAGTAATACTTAATTTAAAATAGTTTGAAAATTGACAAAACATATTTCTTTTTAATTCAGCTTTAGTGGACAAAAGGCTGAGCATGCTTGGGAGCAGGCCTGTGTTTATAAAATTTAGAAACGTAAACAGAATACTAACCTGGACATTATGAAAATCTACACGATTCAGATCTGCTAACATCTGGTTTATCTGAGATGAATTCTGCAGGACAGCTCTAGCAGCTTGAGCCAAATGATTTAACGAAGTATAACGGCGTAATGTTTGGGCAAAGGCACTAACTGCACTAACCTTGACATACACACAAATTCATTAAATAAAAACTGATGTTCTAGTATAGATAACATAATTTTATTCTTATAAGCATTACAAAAAACTTTGAATATTTAAAATTAAAATTTCTTGAGTTCAAGAATTACTCTCATTAACTCAACGTTTTCTCATGGTTTCATCATTCTAGGGTACCTTAAGTCTTATTTTTTCTACACATAAATAGTGTTGTGTCAGTGAGATCACGTGACTAGTATCACGCCACCTCTTTCTAGAGATATCCTGTTCCTTCAAAAATGCCCTAGCATTTACTAGATATCTGTTAGTCTTGTATATGTGAGACGTTCACAACGTGACGGGACAACGGTGTAATGAGTAATTGAACTGCAGTCAGAGATTGTGTAATTGAACTGAGTATTGTCGAGCATGAGCACGTGAGACATTCTAGCGTTTGTCATAGAGCGACTGTTGAAATTAAGTGTATCGGTAAAGTTGTATATGGAAAGAATAAACCAGTTTTATTTAAGAAAGGACTCGTGTCGCTAAAGTTTCGTTGGAACGAATTTACGGAAAATTAATTAATGAACGAACGGAGACGTAACAAATTGGTGTCAGAGAGTGGGACGAAAAAAAAGAAATGGAAACGAGAAGCAGCAAATCAAACTACAGCTTAGCAGACTTGATGG